GAAAAATTTCTTTACTGAAAGAGTGGTCAGGCCTTGGAACAGGCTGCCCAGGGAAGTGGTGGAGTCACCATCCCTGGAAGTATTTAAAAGACGTGTAGATGAGGCGCTTAGGGACATGGTTTAGTGGGCATGGTAGTGTTGGGTTGATGGTTGGACTTGATGATCTTAGAGGTCTTTTCCAACCTTAATGATTCTATGATACCATGATTCTATATTCCTGTTCACATTGCACACGACTGAAATTTAGCAGATTCACTGGGCTCAGTTATACCTGGTAATCCATCATACTGAAGCTTGGGAAAAATTCCAGAATACGAGACTCAAAGAAGTATGGAAATATCCAGAACATGGGCATCTCCTGGTTGTTATGACCTAGTAATGAAAAGACTTAGATGTACATTAAAGAAAAATAAGGTACATGAAGCATGAAAAATTCACAGTAAATACATAAACATGTGTATGTATGTCATGCTGGGCATAAGAACTAGTTCCTTTAGGTGACAGAAAGTTTTGGTATATTTTATATATGCGGAGTTGTAAGCTCCACTTAACTAACAACTCTTGTCACCTGCCTACATTGGTAAGAAATGGTACTGGTTTGATAGCTTATTCTTCTCTACCTTCAAAGTCCATTTTAATTGCAAAGTAGATTTTTAAACAATCTGTAAAAATTTTTAAGAGAGACTTAGAGAACTGGGTGTTATTAAACTAAAAGTATCAGGAGAGTATAGTAGATATATGATAATTCATCTTTCGAAATTATAACATGAGTGTGTTCACATTCACCTGAGTAGCAAGAATCACAGACTTTTAAATAGGTGCTTTTTCTTAGAGTGATGTTACAGCTCAACCCACCTATCTGGTTGTAATACATACCTTCTTTTTCTGTCTCCTTCCACATTGCCATCAGTTTTTTAAAACTAGAAGCCAGTGCTTCCACTAAACCTCCAAATGGGGGATCAGTTACCATAATGACTCTTTCACCATTGCCTTGATACAAGAATTTCCTACAAGTTTCACGTGCAGCCTGTAAGAAACAGAGGTTAATGTCCAGAAATATAGATTCAAGAACTGTAAAAATATTGTATTTGGCAATAAAATGATTATTTTAGAAGTTTTAACTTTGAAGATGGAAGTTATTTCCTCTTGTGGAGGTGAATTTCCTCTTGTGTAGCATTTAAAAAAAAAAAAAACAACCTAGATTTGAAGCGCTGAAAACAAGTGCCCTGTTCAGTTAGAGAGAACATATCAAGGGCAGACGCAGTTCAAGCTTCTTAAGATAGTCTTCTTCCCAAGGGTACTAAATTTAACTTAGAAAAAAAATGTTATTCATAGCAAGACAACAGAGTTCAGGCTCAGAATACATTTTGTTCATGCCTTTTAACTTTACTTTTATTTTGTAAAGCGTTATCAAAGTAACGGGGAAAAAATTCAGTCCACTGAAAACTGACTAAATCCATACTGGTTATAAAAATATATAGTGTCCAAATTTTAGCAGCCCAACCTGGACTCTATTATTAAAGGAAATGCAAAAAGTATGTGTTCACTGCCATACTGCAGTGTTCTCTCATCTATTACTTGGATTCTATTGCATTCCAAAACCGGATTTTTAACACTAATATGCATTCAAAAGTGCTGCAATTCAGTCCTTGAATACACTGCAATACAATGCCACTACAGGTGTCACCTTTCCACACCTTCAAAAGAACACTACAGTGCATAATGCAGATGAACAGTCTTTTGTTTTAATTGAAATATACAAAACTTGAATACAGCAATGGATAAAAAAAATCAAAGGTAAGGCTTTCAGACCAGCCTCCCATTTCATCCCAGATAATTCTTTTTATTTTCAAGATCCCATTCAAAATTAGGCTTTAGAATGGAAAAAATCTGAAAATTATCTACATAGTGTGAAAAGTATTACAATAAACACATTTATGCAAATCAGTGGTGGCTTACTAATAATGGCAGGGGAAGAGCGAAGAGTGAGTGAGTATACTACTGGAATAAATGTTTGAAATTAATGTTTGGAATTGAATTACACTGTGATTCTGTGTACAAAGCTCCAATAAACATCCTACTGCAGCTGCAGGTTTCCTAATGAACTCAAAATTAAGCACTCAATGTGACATTTAAAAAAAACCAAGAAATTCAGCATTTTTTTTAACCATGACACTAATTCAACCTCATTTTATGACAAGAAGGTTAACCTTTTGACCTTGCTTATCTGGAATAAACCAGGAAAACTTCCTCTTCCCTCCCACCTCAAGTACCAGTGAACAAGTCCCATGGCATCCATTGGGCTTGTAAAGGCTGGGAATAAAACAATTAATTCTGTTGTAGCAACACAAGAACAGGGCTAATGAATACTTATATAAGGCAACAAGTCACACCAAATTGTCATTTTAATAAAAGCGGCAGTTAAGGTGTGTAAGTAACATCAGTTAGCATAAATTTAATAGGCGACTTTATCTTTGAATCGAGTGGGAGATAATTACTGAAGAGGCTCTGTTATTCTTTGATTTCCACTACCGTTAACCGTTTTTATCTCATGATAGTTGTTTTCTACTAGACTGGCCATGACTTTCTTACAAAATTCTGCATCAACAACATGTACTTCTTTACAAAGCACTCAAGAAATAGTTGGCCTTACCTCTCCACCAAAAAAAAAATGATTAAACATGTTGTAGTGGCAGAATTCATCTTCTGTGTAAAACTGTGAATACCTGTAAAATAAGTTTTAAGTAGTAGAAAAATATGAACAACTTCTTGCCTGCCCTAAGGGGCGTTTACAGTGAAAACAAGGCCTTAAGAAAAACATCATCTTTGGGTTCTGATTACTGACAACATATACCAATACTGGGAATTATTAAATATAATTACTTTTCTCATAAACTGGATGTCATTTGTGTATGTGTGCAGGAACAGAGATGCAGAGACAGGAAAGGGAAAACAACCACCAATTTCTTTTTTAAAGCAGTAAGAACACAAATCTTTGTACATACTCTTCAGACAGATAAACGTTTATCAAAACCTACCTGAAATCAATATCTAGCAGAAGGCTTCTAACCCTGAAATCATCTTCTTGTGATGCTTTTGACTGGATCATTTCATGAAGCCTGAAGTATAATTGGAGCAAAGAAATTTAACACATAATCATTGGCTTCAGAAATTATCTTGCAAGACAAGAATGCCTGGTACTTTACTAAACCTAAAACCAAACAGATAAAGAAAATGGAGTAATCTGAATTTGGATGATTCCATTTGGCTAACATTCAAAGCTAGAAAAATATGTTAGTCTTAAAAGATGAAAAATCAGTGGAGACTACTGATCACCATGAACAAAAAAACCCCCAAACATAAGCAAAGAAACTCATCATCACTTCTGTAAGGAACAAAGACAGACGTTTAAAGTGTATATGTGTGTGTGTTATTTGCAGTGCAGCTACAGCCTTCTCCTGTATCTTATGAGCTCAAAGCAAGACCCCACTAGATGCCTGGATAATCCCAACCAATTAAAGCATAGTGAACCTCCTATCATGGCAGAATCTTTGACTATTTAACTATTAGTAAGCTGCACAGTTTTGAGACAGAAATATTATTTGAAAATGTAACAGTTCTCACTGACGTACCTGGGTGTTCCAACAGAGAGCACTCGTCTGAATCCTAAATCAAGAATAAGATCCAGTAGGAATTGGCAACTTCTGTCTGCAAATAAATACTGTGCATTTGTTTTTTTATTCTCCAGTGGATACAGAAGTTGACTGGGACTTTTTAACTGGGCAGTGGAGATATCACACAGGAACTGGTGATCCGAGTGTTTTTCCCATTCAGCT